GAAATCATCCTATAGATTTTCATGACTATTGGCAGTGAATATATCGGAACGCAGCAATTATGAAAACGTCGAGCGTATAAACGTTCTCGTACAAAACGTGATCATCTTAGTGATAATTTTCTCAGAATTTCTCAAAATTTTTATATAAATTACAAATTTTTTCAGAATTTCTGAATAATTTTATAACTTCTTAGAAAATTTCTCAGTTTTTTATACAAATTGGATTTTTTCAAAAGGTCCAGAAAAGTCTTCTGGAATTCTTCATATACACTCATATAAATTCTGAAATATTCTAAATTCTAAGATTTCTAAGATTTCTCAGTCTATTATTTCTGATAAAATTTGGAAAAGGTCACGATATTATTTTAGAAATAATAAAATAAGAAATCTTAAAATTCCTAGAATATTTCAGAATTCACATATACGAGAGATATGTGATACTAAGAAAAAATATAGGCTTTCTCAGTATTTCTGAAAAGTATTCTAATTCATATAAAAACTCTGAGAACATGGCAACGATTATTATCAATCCACGCATTTGCTTAATTCTTCTTAATTGTAAGGACAAATGTACACAATAGACAAAACGTCAGCCAATTATTACATATCGTTAAAAAAAAGTTGATAATTATTGCATTTTAATTAGTGAGTACGTATACATAATCATTAAATCATATCGCGCGGTATCAATGTGAAACTGCCGCGGCAGCAGCTTCTACTATTTGAATCCTTCTAACGATAGCTAACGAAACGTGTCGCAAGTGTACATCGTGTACAGTTCGGTGTCATTAGCACGCGATTAATTAGCAAATTACAGTCGTGATTAATCCTATATCGTGATATATCAACCGTACATTCGACGTCGCGAATTCAAGTCGATATGCTGAAACGTGAGATTTGTTTATTTACATCTATCGTGCGAATAGCCAGCAAAACTAACCCCATTTTCGCAAATGTGTGATATGCGAGTGCCAGGCGAAGAGGAATCACAAATAGAGGAACAAACATAGGAATCTGAAAGGAGGAAGCAATCTAGAAAGCATCGGGCATCGGCTGAGCATTCACAGGATAATTGAATATTAAATACTTGTTACTCGGTTCGATTGAAATCAATGGTTTACCTACCAAATCACCCTTGCTAAGTTAATTACATCATTGCGTAATATAATAAAGCATTGTTGATTATTTAAAGAAATACTTGAAATATTTGATAAAAAAATGTTTATAGTGCATTTAAATAATTATATAAATTATTTGTATGAAAGCTAAAAAATTATAAGATTCTTAGTTTAAAATATTATCTAAAAAGTTTTATGTTTATCAAGTATATAGTAAGAAAGATTTTATATTTGTATTAAAACCGTTTCTTGTTAAAATGTTTGTGTTCAATTTTTAACATATTCAAGTGTTGATTTAACATGATACAGTTACATCATTTGAATATTTTGTGTTAAATATTTGACATTTCTCTCTCTTTATGTCGAATATAAACACAATTTATGTACAAATAATATAAAAATAATATAGTTTTTTGAATAATCGTAAATTTTAAAATTCAAATGTAAATTCTAAGGTATATAAATGAAAATAGATGTGTTACAGTATTACATTATAAATATTAAATTTTTGAACTGAAGAAATACGGTTCCCTAATTTGCTCTTAAATTGTGTCTTACATTTTTTGTATTAATTTTTACATAATGTTTGTGTTACTTTCTAGTACATATATTCTTCTTATGTTAAATTTGAATGAATCATTTGGAACACGTGAAATGGGTCCCAAACGTGAAATTGTGTTAAATTTAACGCAAATTTTTCAACTCTGTAAATACTTACAAAGTATTGTTAGAAAAGAAACTTTTCAAAAAGTTGTATAATGCTTTTGAATAATTACTACAGAAAGAGAAAGAACACGAATAAAAGTTTCGCGCAACAATTATTTCCTAAAATGTTAATCGTTGTAGCATGTATATTGTTGCTGTATATTAATTTAGGTATGTTTGTGTTTTACAGTATCAATGTAGTTACAACTCCGCTGCTGCGCATCGCATCGATGAGTCAAATAAGCTTTTATTTTAAATCAAGATAATGAATCTAATATGACAGAATATACTATATAGATAGATACAAGATATATTAAAAATAGATAAATTAATATATTATAGACAGATGCAAGATCTTATAGATCTGTTATCTTAAGATGGCTAGAACAAATTATAATTATTAGTATATCGATATTTAATCCTGGAAACAGTCGACATTCGTTGATTTATTGTGTGTACGAGTACGCCCAGTAATGAGCTCGTAAAATAGAGCTCATTATATCGGCCCATTATTTATTAGTACTGTTTGGTATCTTGCGATACGACAGAATAATTACGAGATACACCAATTACGTGAAATCGATACGACAAACATATAGGCATAAACGAAAAAATAGAAATAATTTCGTACATAAAGTGAGTTTTATTTTAAATAATGATATAATATCCACAAAATTAATGTTTTCAAATTTAATAAGAATATTATTATGTTTTATGCTTCATGTCGAGCATTTATATGTAAATAAAATTTTTAGAAAATGGAACTGAACAAAAATACCATAAAGATATGACCTAATAATATTATTTGATGAATTTTCAACATTAAATGCATTATAAATAATTAAATTTTCCAGTTTATTTATTATTAATAAATAAATACTAAAAAATAAAAGCAAAAAAGAGAAATAAAATAAAATTGTAACAAATAAAATAATCGTTATAATGATAAAAATTAATGTTTTATATCTTTAGAATATAAAGTTTTCATCAAATTTCTTCATGGCGTTTATATTTTATAGATAAAGAGAAAAGGAGGATGTTTTTCATATATTTACATGAAATAAAATAAATATATAAAATATAGTAAGAAATATTAGTTAATGTTTGAATAATTTTTTTCTTGTTTCTTTTTTTTCTAAACATCTATTTAATATTAATATTTAAGGTCTACGTTTAGCCTCTTTATATTCTTCCAGGATTAAATATAAATTGGTAGAAGAAAATAGTATTCACGAAGATTTATACAATCTGTTACAAATAAATAAAAAAAATTTCGCAGTGTCTCACGTAGCACATTCCAATCAATATCTAATAAATAAACTCGCTTTAATTTTATCTTAATTTTTTATTATTCATTTTTTTATTTTATTTCTCTTGAAAAAAAAGTACAATACAGAAATATCCTCGCGCAACAGAATTTTCTATTTGTGATTAATCATTTCATAGTTAAACAATTATCAGTTGTATTTTCAAATATTTATTGAAAAATATTATATTAAAAATAACATTATCACATTGTACTGTTACGATATTATGTTTAAATAATTTAATTTAAAAAAATTAATCTGTATAGAAATTATTAAAAACAATTGCTAAATAAATTTCACTTGTCATTATTCAAAATATCATTTGGCTTTGGCAATTTGTGTCATATAATATGAAATTAAAGAAAATAGCAATATTTAATTTATACTCTTTCATTATATTTTGATGCAAAATAATTGTTTTTAATAGAAATTGATTTTAAATATTGGATATTAATTATAAAAAGTCATATATAGATGTTTCAATTTTAATAGCTTAAAAACTTCATGTAAAAATATTAATGTTAAAACTAAAAAGTTTAAATAGATATAATTTTTGGAAACTTATTAAACTATGTAAAAAAATTTTTATTTTTTTTTTTTGAAAATAATCTAGATCCTGTAATATTTACATATTGGAATATTTCATATTTAGGTATAGTTAGATATGTCTCTGATTTTACAAATACTATTGCGAAAGCTTTATGTTTTGTAATAATTGCAATACATGCAATTGCAATATAACTGTAATATGCATATAAATTTTTGTTACTTTAATGCAACTATATTTATATATTTTAAATATGTCACTAACAACACGTAAATATAATAATAAATGCGAGATATAATGTCAAATAAAAAGTATACAATAAAAATTATATACTTTAACACGGATGGTTTATTATCTTTCATTTTTTAATTGTACTTTTTGTTATCAACTAAGCGTAAAATAATTGTATAATTACATTTTTAGTCGATTTTAATTTCGAATTTATAGAAAGATTAAAATCTTTAGAAAATTTTCAATTGTAAATGATTAAAATTATCTTTTAGTAAATCCGCTGCAGCTTATTTTGCTTATACAATTTCATTCGTCGCTATAGTTTAACTTTTTTAAGTTTCAAAGTAATTTCATTGAACATATATTTTATTGAGTATTAAAAAATAAAAATATAGCTTGAAACAAAGGACGAAATTATTTTTCGTACTTCCAGTATTGAAGGCATATATTTAAAATTTCTTTTTAAACACTCTAACATGCTCTCGCAGTGTCCAAAACTTTTTTATTGGAATATTTGAAATATATTAAAATAGTTAGGATAATTTTAAAACATTTACAATTTTTCTCCGAAAACTTCTTACGAGTATCTAATATCTACAACGTTTTTTAAAAACTCTGTGTACTCGCTTTATCTTTCTTTACGAGCTTTTCAATACTATATAAATACATCTTTCATACTACCGTGTATCCTAAATAAAAAACAATACGATCATGTGGTGCATTAAGTATTGCAATCTCGTCGATCTCAACCTGCACATTCGTATCGCGTTCCCATGTGGGTTAACGAAATCCTCATCCGCGCGAGCGACCTACCCCAAAGTCGGCTTGCGGCTTGAATCCGGCTTGACGTCCATCGGTGGAAGGAAGAGAGACTAGGGAGACTTCGGGCACTCGAGTGGAACTGGATCGCACAGAAAATCTTAATTTGACATCCGCACACCAGCACCTTGAGTTTCCGCAGGTCTTTGCCCTGCCCCTGTCCCTTCTTTTCGAGCGGCTTGCTCGCCCCCATCAACCTTCCCTTGGTACCTCTCTCCCACTCGCAACCCCAACAGGAGCGAAGGAGCTCCTCTGGCAGTCGGTTGTCGGCTTCTCTCGACTAGGGACATGCGCAGCGAACCACGGAACGACAGGTGCGCGCCGCGCCGACAACCGCGAATCGCTTAGTTTCGGGTAAGCGCATGATTCGTTTCTGCCGCTCTGTTCTCACTTCGAGACAAGCCGACCCGCCAGTCGCTCGCGACTCTGTCTCTGATTCGGTTGTTCGCTCTCGCTAATCTCGTGTCATCAACGTTTTCTCTTCTGGTCCTCTTATGAAACCATCGACAACCGGAAGAAAGATTGTCCGTTGGTGACGATCGCACGATCGTGGATTCTCTCACTGTGGAGAGGATCATCTGCTAGATCCCATCAGCTGTCAACGCCCTGAAACAAGGAGGAGGACCCATCAGCGCTTATCGAGAGCGCACGTGTTCTTTCCCTTGTTTGCTTCCTGTCAGTCTTCCTCCTTCGTTGACAGACACAATTTCTCTTTGAAAGGTGATGAACGTGTTATCCGGTTTTTCTCCTCGTTCGGACATTCGTCGCGCGTTACGTTCACCCCGATTACCAATTTAATAAGGCAATTTTCTTCTTGAGATCATTGAATCGCGGGGGTGCCGTTAAAAGTATATTAATCGTGCTAATAAAACAGTGAGTTTTTCTCGCCGATTTCATCAATTCAACGGTGATTGTGAATTACTGTGATTATCTTGGTGAACGCGTACGATGCTCTTGATGAATGTGGTGCTCTAGGAAAGTTTAGACACGTCGGTATTCCGGCATCCCAGGTGGATCCCTCTCGATCATGCACCGAGGACAGGATCTCTTCCGCACAAGTGTGGGAATGCGAGCAACCGCGGCGGTCGTCTTCCTGTTTCTCTGCGGATTCATCGTCCTACGCAGAGTCGAGGGTGAGTCAGCGACCTAAATTTCTCCCTCGAGATCGGCCCGCGAATAAATCTGGGATTACCGCTAAGAGTTCTGTGAACTACCTACACGTATGATGCATCATATGCGTCTGACAGGTACTTGTCTAAACAAAATGTACGAATGTGGTTGAATACCGTGAAATATAAATTCAACGCGCAGTCTAATATACCGGAATAAATAGAACATAAAAGAAAACTCGAGGGAGAAATGTCCGAAATTATTCGGGATTGAGTTCATATTTCATTTTTATTGCTCCAAAGTAAAGATTGCGCCTTTTAAAAATCGCATTAAAATAATTATCGCTGTCTTTTCTCGATGTAAAAAACGAGACATCTGTCACAATATAAAAGTAAACTCTACTATGAAATCTACTTAACTTGTCGTCTAGAAACCGTTTTATCATCCATAAATAAACGGATGTAAATGGGTATGATGCTGTTCGCTGAACAGTTTTCTTCATAGCTTTTAGTTATTCTTAGTTTCGATTGTCAAAAGCTGCTGTAATGCGCGTATATACAAATACTTTGACAGATTTTAATAATAAAATAATAGTAAAAGCGGACAACGGAAAACCAAATCTAATTATATAATGTTATACTTGAATAATAAAACATTTGGTATGTGAAATCTTCATGCAATGATATTTTTATTCGATAATAAAATATTAACATTTTCTGTTAGGTTAAGATTTTGTCATGTCTATCTTTTCGTTGGAATTATTATTATCTAGAAAATGTAACTGTAATTACATTGAATGAAGGTTTCATATATAAAAAAAATGTTTTATTATTCAAATTTATTATTACACAATTATATTTATATTTATATAGAATATATATATAATATATACTTATATTTATACAGGGTATCGCCAAATATTGTATTTCATGGGCAGATAAAGCGGATTAAACTGAGCTGAAAAGTCACCTATTATTTTGCAATTTTCAAAATAGTTAACAACATATCAATTATTAAATATTATCAAAAATTGGTCTTCAATAATTTTTTATTCAAATACTATCAACTTTACAGAAAAACTGTGAGAGACAAAAATGGTTCATTTTTTTCTCATAGAGCTCTAAGCATTTTTTCAGAATTTTTGATCAACTTTTTAGTACTACATTTTCTTATTTTTACTAACATGAGAAAATACGGTATTAAAAAATTTTGAAAAAATTATTAAAAAATTCTTAGAATTTTATGAAAAGAAGATAAACAATTTTTGTTTCTTGCAGTTTTTCTGTAAAATTGATAGCATTTGAGTAAAAAATTATTGAAAACCAATTTTCGGCAATTTTTAGTAATTAAATACCTTGTTAACTATTGCGAAAATTGCAAAATAGTAGAGGACTTTTCAAATCAGTTTAGTCCTCTCTACCTGCTGATAAAATATTTGGCGATTATTTTGGAACACTCTGTATATAACATATTATATTAATAACAAAATATATGTTATTACATATGTTTGCGTATTATAAATTCTGAAATAAGTATGTTTATGATGCCATTAAAAAGCGAAAAAAGAAACAAAAATAAAATATGTTGTCAAGATTGTTCGCGAAAATGACGAGAATTAGGATGGAAGAAAATGTACAAGCCAAGAAACAGCGTCAGACTTCTTAATGCCTGTCTGAAGAGTTGAAAAGCTCGACGGAAGGAAGCCAGCCGACGGGTGGAGAAAACAATAATGCTCAGCGACCAGAAATTCAGAGAAAAATGCTTTTATACGCGAGTATAATTTCCCCCGTGGAAAAGCAACGTCCGGCTGTCCCACCTGCGATTCAGCGAAACGAGATTTTAATGTTGCACGAACGTTCGCGCCGTTGCTGCAACTCCTGGCGTATACTAGAACGGGGGCCTCGCGTGTTCAAGGCCGTGGAATAATAGCAGCCACCCGTCGCGCACAGCCCCCGGATGTATGCACGGCCATTGAAAATCAGATGAAAGGGAAAGAAACGGACGTGGTATCTGTACATCTTGAGGGGCTGCGGGAAAAATTCAAGTCGCACGCCATACACCGCGTTTATTGCAACTGCGATATATGCTCGCCCATGTTATTCGATACATTGTATGCACCACCGCGCTCGTAATCAAACTCCCGATCGAGTGAAAAAAGGCTGTCCTCGATTGCGCATCGCTGTGAATTTGCGACGGGAAAGAACGGAAAATATTTTCGTATCTTGTACGTCTGCGTTCCAATCTCGAACGTGTATTATTACACTTCGACGTCGAACGAAAGTGCAAACTGAGATCACGGATTTCACGAAGATCGATCAGCTACCCTCTACGAGACAAATGTCCCTCCATCCCTTCTTTTATCTTAGAAATCTTATACAGAATCTCTTTATGTTGTACGACATTGCGCAATATAAAACTATGGTGGAATAACTTTTCTATTTATATTAAAATCCTGAAAAATCAATCGTTTTGTTTATACTTTAGTAAAGAAATCTTATTGGAATTTAAAATTAGCGATATGCAGCTAGTACATCAATATATCACATGCGATGAGCGGGCTCTTTAAATATCCGTGGAGAATAAATTTACGCTGATCCTATCTACGCTATTATACACGATGCATACGTAGATATCTGGTACGGAAAAAAATGTATAAATCGTCGCGAGCTGCTTTCGTCACTGATGTATATCTTTGCATATAAACGACATCCTGAAAATCACTTAACGCCGTTTTGCGGCGTTAGTACCGTAACTTTCGTTGCACGAAACAATTTGGAACTGTGTGCGCGCTATATATCATCGCGTGTCATTGATACGTTCATGAAAAGATTACCTGTATGGGATATTAAAACACAACTAAAATTGCAACTGAAATAATCGGCGCAATAATACCGCAACTGTCAATCGTGAAAAATTATAATACAATAAAGAAATATTTTCACGAGTAATTATTTATTTACGATAAATCTTTGATACAATAGAAATAATATACATATAGAAATTGGCGTATCATTGTCCAATTTTTTAAAATAATAAGCACATAAGATATGTATTATTAAAAATGATAAATACTTTATGGTTCTAAACTGATTTAACGCAATTCTTTCATCACATTCTGATAGAATTAATTTATTGTACGATATCTTGAAATAAAATCTTAAATGCATTATATAAGCCTATTACACTTGCACGTTGTGCGCGTAATTACGTCGGAAATGCTTCAAATTCTAGTAATCTGAAAGCACATCACGTGTTGGCCAAGTCCCAGGCAAGTTCTAAATCTGTGCGGCCGCTTGCTTGGAAACAAATATAATACGGTAGGCCGCAAAACGCGTTCGCATGTGGCAAAAGTACAAGGAAAGCAAGTGCAACAGAAGCTTTCTAAAAGCGGCGACGATCGTATGGAACGCGATATGTATCTGCATAGCAATAATACATATATTGGAATAATGTAAATTACAAAAGTTATATTGCTTATTATTTCATAACGTGATTCAATACTGCGAAAAATTTTTGGTTGAAAATGGACGAACATAATAGATTCTGATCAAATCGATCAGAATGCCAGTCGAGATAACCAAATGTCCAAATGATGATCGGAATTCTGTTTGATATGATCAGAATTTACTGTTTCGTTCATTTTCAGAAATTTTTCTCAATGTGTAAAATTAGGAGTTGAGATCCGCTAAATTCAACGAAAAAAAATATATAATATGTTTAATTAAATATAAGAATTCAATATATAAGAAAAATATGTGTAAAACTTATTCATAGGTTTATATAAATTACTTTTAATAAATTAAAATACTAATTTATATAAATTAGTTACAAAATAAACTCTTGATATCATGAAATTTAATCAAATAATTTTTTTCTTTATGAATCCTTTAATTTAAAATGTATCTAATTTAATTGTTTTAAAATTATAATAAATATTTTGTTTTTAAGTATGTATATAAATATTTCCATGGTACATTTAAATTATTTTAATTAAATAAAAAATAACACAAAAAACGCATCAAAGAAAAAACATTTAGCTGAATACATTTAACGCACGTTATTATTTATTACTGTAATTTTTATAATAACCATATAACAAAAATGATTACATAAAATATAGCACTATAATTTAATATACATGTAGATTTATTATATTGTATTATAGCATAATCTTTTTGTGACTTTTTCTTTATAATTTGCAATGCAACATCGTGTAATAAACGAAAAAAGCTTTTCAGCTTGTCAGTTTCCAATAATAAACTTTTTAAAGATGAACAATATTAAGAATTTTAATTTTAGACCGCATATGTGAGAATACAATCAATACTAGAAAAATGCCTATTACGGTCGAAGCTGAATCTTCATTGCTTTAAATAATTCAATCTTGAATTACTAATATACACTATATATGTACTTGCATGTTGTAGTCTTTTCAAAATGCGAATTGTCTTTCCGAACTATAAACGCAATTAAAACTACTCTAGTAATCGCGAATTAAATTGACAAGCAATTTTAATAATTTGATGCTACCATTAAGCATCATATTATAAAGATGTTGAAACTGTTTAAAGATGTCTATTCATCCTTCTCATAAAAATATGATATTATTTATATCATACGTATTCGTGATGTAAATTGTAATTCGCGAGTATTTTAGATTCCGGCATATAAAACTTAGTAAATATTTTTGACTTGGAAAAAGAAACGTGAAACGATTGAAACGAAAGCTTTGCCACAAAGAAATACCAAAGTTATGGTACTATATATATAACATATGTAATACGAATTCCATACTTTTTCGCATTTTCTATGCATGGAAAGTTCTTGATATATTTTCTGAACGATCACACCAACATATTGCATCGTCATAGAAGCTAGGAGGTAGAAAGTAGGAATCACAGGTACGACGAATATACTCTTTTTTTTAGTATTCAGATTTATATGTATTTGTTATCAAAATAACAAATATATCAAAATAGTAAAAATATAAAAAATCTACAAACTTTTTTAGGAAGTAAACAAC